CTATTCTTTCAAGGCAACAGTTTGAAACAGTGGTCCATGCTTTTATTTCATCTCGACTGGATTACTGTAACTCACTTTATTTTGGAGTAAACCAGTCATCCCTCGCACRTCTGCAGCTGGTGCAAAATGCTACTGCCCATCTTTTAACAGGAACACGTAGAAGGGAGCACATCACCCCGGTCCTGGCTTCCCTCCACTGGCTGCCTGTCTGTTTTAGAGTCCATTTTAAAATCCTTCTGTTTGTTTTTAAGGCTTTAAACAACCTCGCCCCAACCTATTTAACAGAGCTTCTTCACCGTTACACCCCTCCTTGGTCACTCAGGTTTGCTGACCAGCTGCTCCTGGTCATTCCCAGTTCTAAACGGAAGCTCAGAGGAGATATGGCCTTCTCTGTTAGTGCCCCTAAACTAGGGCTGTGTATTGGCAAGAATTTGGCGATACGATACATATCATGACAGAGGGGTCACGATGCGATATATCCCGATATATTTCGATACTGTAAACCAGGTGATATATTGCGATATATTGCGATATTTTTGGTCCAAAAATTCTATTAAATAAAACCTCTTACTGGAAAAAATAAACGAAAAACCAAAATTCATTGTCTCAAAAAGTTCTAATATTGCATATACATACAGTACTTTTGATACATTTAGCTGTGTTCTGCTTTGTATGTGTTTTATTTTATTTGTTGCTAATGCTCTCTTACTCTCTGGCGCTCAAGAGGTAGAGGAGCCAAATGGCTGGCTCACTTATGCCAACTAGTGGTCAGAGGCTGAACTACAACATAAAATGAATGGCTAGCTGGAAAGTTGACATTTTAAACCTTAATAAAAAAATTGATACAGGGCTTTAGAATATCGATACAGTATCAGGAAATGAAATATCGCGATATTTCAGTGTATCGATATTTTCTTACACCCCTACCCTAAACTGTGGAACGCCTTGCCCTTGCATGTCCGACAGGCCCCTTCACTGTCCATTTTTAAGACTCGTTTAAAAATTTATTTTTTCTCACTGGCCTTCAACCCAACTGAGATTTGATTTTACTCAACTTTTGCTGTATTGGTGCTGATTTTACTTATTTAACTGTGTGATTTTATTGTGTTTTTGTATTCAGTTTTTATTTTATGTGTTCAGCACTTTGTTTCATCAGTGGCTGATGTTGTAGCGCTTTATAAATAAAGTTTGATTGATGATTGATTGATTGTTATTGAAAACAGTAAAATCCTTTCTTCACTTACAGATTTAGTGACCTTCATTCTTGCAGGGATATGCATTTGCTAAGTCTGGGGAGCTGCTAACCCGCCGCCTGAGGAAAGTGGGCTTCTACGCCATGCTGAAACAGGAGATTGGTTGGTTTGATGACCCCAGAAACAGTCCTGGAGCTTTGACCACCAGATTAGCCACAGATGCATCCATGGTCCAAGGCGTGAGTTACAGMTTTTTATGAATTTATTCATTATTATTAAAGTGTTTTATATGTAATTTCAATGCTTTTTTGTTTTGTTTTGTTTACTGAAATAATGTCTTTAGGCAACAGGTTCTCAGATTGGCATGATTGTGAACTCGTTGACCAGCATAGGAGCCTCATTCATCATCGCCTTCTACTTCAGCTGGAAGCTAACACTGGTGATTATGTGCTTCCTGCCCCTCATCGGGCTGTCGGGTGTGTTCCAAGCCAAAATGCTGACAGGTTTTGCAAACGAAGATAAAAAAGCAATGGAGGAGGCTGGTCGAGTAAGTTCACCTTCCATTGTGGTACAGTTCCAGAGCTTCACCACCCAAACACATCTGTGAATTTGTGATTGATCTCTCTCCCAGGTGTCTAGTGAAGCTCTTGCCAACATCAGGACCATTGCAGGACTGGCTAAAGAGAGTTCGTTTGTGGAATCATACGAGGAAAAACTTGAACTTCCATATAAATCAGCTAAAAAGAGAGCCAACATCTACGGGGTTTGTTTCGGTTTTGCTCAGTGTGTCATCTTCATGGCCTATGCTGCTTCTTTCCGATATGGAGGCTACCTGGTCAGAGCAGAAGGCTTACAATACATGCTGGTTTTTAGGTAAGTAATGCTCTTATTAAATCCATGTCTGATGGTCACCAAACCTTAACACCATTCGCCATTTCTCCAGAGTGATTTCAGCCATAGTGATCAGTGGGACAGCACTCGGCCGAGCCTCCTCTTTTACTCCAGATTATGCCAAAGCCAAAACGGCTGCTGCTCAATTATTCAAACTGTTGGACAGAGTTCCAAAAATCAGCATGAGCCCCTCAGACGGACAGAAATGGGTTGGTTGAATTTAATACACGTTTTTTTAAATGGTCAGAAACCTTTTTTGTGCTGTTCCTGAGCCTTGTCCATGTCTTTCAGRAGAACTTTAGAGGAGAAATAGAATTCCTCAATTGCAAGTTTACCTACCCAACACGACCGGACGTTCAAGTGTTGAATGGCCTGGTTGTTTCTGTGAAGCCTGGTCAGACTTTGGCTTTTGTTGGGAGCAGCGGCTGTGGGAAAAGCACCAGCGTCCAGTTACTGGAACGTTTCTACGATCCAGATGAGGGACAAGTGGTAWGTACAGCAATAAATGTCTCAGACGTTTAAAAACAAACAATAATAATTTTAAATGTGATTTTTTTTTTATTTTCAGCTGATCGATGGCAGCCCGTCTCATGCTGTCAGCGTGCCCTTCCTGAGATCTCAGATCGGTATAGTTTCACAGGAGCCCGTTTTGTTCGACTGCAGCATAGCTGAGAATATTCAGTATGGAGACAACACGCGTAAAATCAGCATGGAAGAGGTTGTGGAAGCTGCTAAGAAAGCCCACCTTCATGACTTTGTGATGACTCTGCCCGACGTGAGTGGAACCATTTCACATTAGTAATACAATCTCACATAAATAACTACCTAAAGCTTTCCTCAGCTGCTAAACGTGTGCCTTTTTTCCCCTTTGTTTCTGCTTTCAAACTGTTAGAAATATGAGACTCAGGTTGGTGCCCAGGGTTCCCAGATGTCACGAGGACAGAAACAACGGGTTGCCATCGCCAGGGCCGTAGTCAGGAACCCCAAGATCTTGTTATTAGACGAGGCTACCTCTGCCCTGGACACAGAAAGTGAACAGGTATGAGGGGTTTTGTTGGTTTCATTATAAGTCAGCGTGAATGTTTCTCATACACACGACCAAAGAACACCGTCACGACCGAGTTCTGTTTCCCTGCAGATTGTGCAGGCTGCCCTGGATGAGGCGAGAAAAGGACGAACCTGCATCGTCATCGCTCACCGACTGTCCACCATCCAATCTGCTGACATCATTGCGGTGATGTCGCAGGGCGTCGTCATTGAGCAAGGCACTCACGACCAACTCATGGCCAAGAGAGGCTCTTATTATAAACTGGTCACAACAGGAGCTCCGATCAGCTGAACATTTGATAACAACAGACACAATTTCCTTTATGGAAAACATTTCAAGTCAAATGTAAAAATGCAGTCATTTCAAGATTATTTTCAAACACTATTTGTTATGAAGTAATAAAATCATGCACAATATAAAAATAATAGGAAGTACAAAAATGAAGATGATCCTGATATTTTTCTGTAATTTAACTGTTTTCACAAATCAGGGTTAATATTTTACATGCCATTACTAATCATTTGGAGTTAAAGCTATTTATAGGCAATTTATTTATTTGTTTACAATTATTTGAAAGGAAAATAATGTTTCACACAAATCTGTTCTTATTTATTATTAGTATAATAAATTTTTTTTATTTAAATCTTAAATTGAATTAGTTTTGTTTCCATGTTTGTTTGATTTCATTTGTTATCTGCTTTAATAAGAACTTTTTGTATCCTTTGAGTTTGAGTTTTTAAGACCGCAGTTTATCAGTTTAATTATTCTGTTGTAAAAAAACAGAAAAATACGCATTACAACATTTATGAATACTGAACACACATTTGTTTTTGCATATAGCTCACCATCAGCAACGTATTCAGTTTTTAATTTTACATTTGTATTTATCRTTGATTTTTTTGCTGAATCTTATTAAACAGCAACACAATCTAAAGTTATTGAGGAGCAAGTTCATTATCACAGCTTTTATGTGAACATTGAATTTAGGAGTTTTGTATTATATTCCAGAGTATTAGTTTCCAAAATGAAACTGTACTTTATTACAGAAAACGAGGGTTTTCAATATACTGTATATAGATATATATATATATATACGTATACATATATATACGTATATATGTATATATATATATATATATATATATATATATACATATATATATATATATATATATAATTTCTGAACATTTATGACTGTGTTGTTATAATGCATTGACCTGCTCTTGTTGCACTCTTAGTGCTAAGTAATAATAAAGGACCCAGACTAATGGATGTCTCTTCAAGCCTGGTTTGACGAGAAGCCTACGCACTTTGAACAGTTACACCATTCAGTAACAGGCCGCAGGTACGTCTGATACTAAGCAACCAGAGCCTGTGAGAAAAGACTATGGAAATAGCTTCTGCTCAGGAGTTTAATTAATCTGCCTAATCCTGTTACATCAGAGACTCTGTTCTACCTCATTACCTTCTGGCTGATTAATATCTGAAATTTCCACTGAGAGGTTATGTAATCCACTCCAAGCAGGACATGCAAACATARTGTGAAGGATTCGATGATTTGTGGAAAAGTTGCAGAAAAGGTTTAGCTGTGATGCTGCCTATTCTGACATGATTTATTCATTTCAAAATTTCAAAATTTTACAAACTTACTGACAAATATTTTGATAATAGTTTGCATTTTGTATCCCCTACATATTCTATCACACATATGTCGTGTTAGCATAAAAATGAGAAAGCTTATCTTTTAAAGCGATTTGTAAATTCCTCATCATCATCATTATTCATTGTTGAAAATGAGCCATCTTTAGAACATCTTTTGCACTTGATTTCTCAAACTCTCCTTAAGCCAAAAATAAAAGGATAACGGGGAAAAATAAAAGCTTTATTCGGTACTTCTCTTGAACTTAATGCACTTTGCACAACTGTCCTAAGAACTACTTTAACATCAAATTGTTGGCATCAAGTAATATTTCAAATAATTTTAATATACATATAAAACCAAAAAAACAACAAAAAAAAAAACAAAGAGCAATAGACAGAATATTGAACTTGTATTTAAATAAATCAATTATAAACATTTATAATATTGAAACCAAGCAATGTAGAATGGCTTGTGTTGAGTCTTCAACAATCTAAGACAGCTTTCTTTCTTCGTCTCTGATCAGCAAATGGACACAGTAAGGAACCACAGAGGCCACACCAAATGGTATTGAAGCGCTTTTACAAAATGACAGTATGTACAACAAAGGCTCGTTGTGAGTGGGCATTTTAATCAAGTCATACAGCTGCAAAAATGTGAGAGTCGCAGCCATGCAGCAGAGTTTAAATGCAGTTTTGGAGCCATTCTTCCCTCTGCAGCTCTGAACGAACATCTCAGWGTTCACCGCCAGGCCCAGACCGAACAAGGCTCCCAGATTCCTCCATAGACCAGCAAAGGGTGTGGTGTCCAGGTGGATCCAGTCAGCGTTAGCGCACCACTTCTTGGCTTTGACAACTGACCACAACGGATCAAAGTCCAGGAGTTTTAGGAGCAGATAAAAGAAAACCGCAAAGGAGAGCAGAAAAACGCTGAGCTGGAGGTACAGTTTCATGCTTGCGTTATAGATGGATGGAATGTGATCAAACGCCTCCGCAACCAGCATTCCTATGAAACATTTAAACTTTAAAATATGCAACACAACAGAATTATTGCAAAATATGTGACAGCAAAGCGGAAAATACCAGTGATAAGGCCTGGTGGGGGGAATGTGTTGCAATATAAACCCGGAAGACGCAAACACTAATTTGAATCACCCAAAAAGTCATCCACAAAAAGGATTTCAAGAAGTGTAACCTGTAGGAAGACACTTTGTTTTTGGTCAAGTAATGACAAAATAATTTTTGCAAGATGCAACTTATAAACCTTCACCTTTGAGAGCTTTGGACACCAGAGGCGATGTTTAAAGTAGAGGTGATCATCACGTACCACACACGATGAGCCCATGGCATGACCAGACGGACTGCCTGCAAAAATAACCATTAAGAACAGGGTTCATCACTTTGTGCTATTTTCCAATTGCATTGGCTCAAATGTACTGCAGGCATACTTACCTGGTCCTGTTTCACATGTCATGTAAAACTGATCCAAATGTGGAACTGAGTCGTTTTGATACAAGTGAGTTTCCTGAACCCACCAATAAGGTCGCTRCCCAGAAAGAATCCTAAATAAGAAAACATCTGAGTAAAATCTATAAAAAGTTAAAAGAAAAAAATAATCAGTCATGTCTTACCATTTGAAAATAAGGTTAAACCAGTCCCCAATAACAGCCACCCATACCATTTTGGTGCCAACATCATGGCTGAGGTGGAACCAGAGAGGGAAGTAAACAGAGAAGATATTACGAGGGTCACCCACTGTTGACATGAAGCTGAGGAAGCTGTAGTATTCCCCGTAGTTGTTCTGCAGATGCTGTATGGTGAGCACACCGAACCTGTGGGTAAAATCCGTCCTGTGTGTGAAAGCACCTCCTCACAGCAGCACCACGATGCCCTCGCTMACCCAACACCTCCTTATATCGCCGCCTGACATCATGAATCATTTGTCAAAGCCATGGCAACAACTGTGGCTCGCTCCAACTCCTATGGAAGTATTATAATGTGTTCCCAAACTGTGAGAGGTCAGCATTTAGACTGTTTGCAACCATTAGATGTTTCACAGATGGTTGTTAAACATTAGCCACTGTAAACACATGAGAGAGAGAGAGAGAGAGAGAGAGAGAGAGAGAGAGAGAGAGAGAGAGAG